TTGCATCTCCGAAGCAGAGCAGGAGATGGGGCAGCACGTGGACGATGTACGGTTCAAACAGTCGTCCCAGCATGTGACAGAGCATCTCAAACGCAAACAACGCTCCTGAAATCATCCCACAAACAAACAAATGCTTAAAACAAACACGATTCATATCGACAGCGCATTTTCTATCGTACATACGTATCTATCGTATATTTTCGTCCCCGAGTTGGGCAAATTGATACATCTTAGGGGAAATCAGGTCATTTTTAATCGGTGCTAGGGTGTCAGCTTGTGTCAATAGAAGTGGGACATCCAGGCGGAGACATGACAGGTGGGATGACAGGTAGGATGACAGGTAGGATGACAGGTAGGATGACAGGTGTGACGACAGATAACATGAACGGTGATGGAAACAAAGTCGCAGAAGGGATCGCGCGTCCCACCTTCTCGGTGCTTGTAGTTCTTCTTGTCCTGTATAGCTTCCTGTAACTGCGGCATGATCTCTAGCTGCTTCAGGGCGAGGATGCCCAGCCCCTTCACCAGGCCTGCGAGTCCGTACGCAGCCCCTGCAAGCAAACACCTCACAGTGTTAACCTGCTGATTCAGATTGATTTAGTTTAGAATATTTTTTAGTTTTGGCTACAATGCCAGTAACTAATGCGTCTACGTCACTAGTATCAGTGACTGTGAATATAAACTAATAGTAATTAATAGCACTAATTAGTATTAAGCAAGTTCTAATTAGTAACTATTCGCGGTAGATATGCAACGATGGCGCATAACTTAAGATAATAGTACAAAGTCAGAAAGACACAGTGAGTGCAAAATATTATTCTATGTGGTAACACCCTCCTCCAGTGGGAGTTTCGCACGAAACACCATCATAATCATTTTATAAATCATAGTGATAAAAATATGGCTTTAAGTGAAATTCTAACGGCTGAGCATTCGCTATGTGCCGACTGACCTTTGCGCTCGGCATAGTTTTCCGATTCCAGCAACAGTTGGAGCAACTTCTTCACGAGTTCTGGCGCCTCGGCCTTGATGGCTGGCACGAGAGGGGGCAGGCAGTTTGCTACGGCCTCCTGTACCTGTGATACAAAGACAGACGATAGAGACAAGCATCAAACATACAGCAGACGACACGGTAACAGTAACATAACATATCCCTCTCTCCCGCCTACCTTCCCACTCCACTCCATTTACCTTCCCCCACCTTCCTTTCCCGACCTACCTTCTCCCCTCTTCTGTCTACCTTCCCCCTCTCCTGTCTACAGTTCTCCTCTCTCTTGCCTACCTTACCCCACCTACCTCCTATCTTCCCCCTCCAGGCTACATTCCTTCTCTCCCACTTACCTTACCCCACCTTCCTTCCCCTCCTGCCTACCTCCCCGTGACCTGCCCACCTACCTTCCCCTCCTGCCTACCTCCCCCCCCACCTGCCCACCTACCTTCTGTGACGGCGTGGTGAGCGTTGCTATCAGCTTGGCGACGATCGGTTTGACCTTGGGATCGTCGGTGTCAAGGTGACGAGCGAGCGATCCCATCAGGATGACGACGCTCTGCCGTACAGCGTCGAAGCGACCAGACGGCGGAGCCTTGTCCAGGAAATCCTCAAACACCGGCAGCAGCAGGTTCACGCACTCCTAGCGAGACAAATACGGCGCGCGCGCGTTAATGCTGACTGACAGGGGCCACCACGCGCAGCAGCAAAAAATGCTATTTTTCTCGCTGTATGTAACTATCTATAAAAAATATAAATTCTGTAGTGTATTTATCAAAGTTTGTGTTCATGCGAATAAAAATGATAAAATAAGCTGCATTTAGTTATTATCCAATTGAAATGCAAATCCAATTATGCATTGCACACTGGCAGAGTTCAGCTTTTAGGAATGGAAGTAAAGATGGAGGCATCACTTTCTCACCGACTCTGGATAGGCCAAGCGCCATCCAGTTAGTATATAAAGATCAGTGGTCTCACTGCTAAGGAAACACTATACAATCTATGCACGTATATAAAGCTTAGGTTAGCAGCAGCTGCGAGACTCGATAATGCGTGTGTAAACTGTGATAACTGACAGGCGCCTCGTCCCCCACCTTGCCGTGATCCGTGATGACAACGACCGCGGACATCAGCATGTGATTCCTAACCTCCTCGTTTCTATCAGCCAACCCCTCCTCCACGAAGAACGTGAAAAGCTGACCTGAAATTGTGATAAAAAATAATTTGCATTATTCCGTTAACACTTGTATTATCTTTTATTATTCTATTTAAATTTTAAATAAAAAAATAAAAAAATAATTTTAATAATTCGAGATGAATAATCAATGCAAATAAAATCGACATGTGACTTTAAGACACACTCTACTATCGATATTTGCTCATGAAAGAAGTATGAGTTCAAACCAGCAACAAAGATCCGATTTTGAAGAGAAAATATTTTTTGAGAAATAAAAGACGATTGCGTACCGATTTGGTCTTCGGTGAGATAAGAGACAATTTGCCAATGGTCAGAGCCAGACCACTTCTGGCCGGCCACTCGTCCAACCTTCTCCGCCACGAGTCGGCCAAACTGATCGAGTACTGGTGGCACCACCTAGCAGCAGAATTGTGTATCTACAAACACTGTCATACTGTACAGACACTACTCATAGATTTTAACGTTATATAGTGTGAAGCTTATAACTCCAGGTTAATGTCAACTTCATTACAAAACACACAAATGTTTACCAAATGCATTTAGTATTTATATTTAATATGCAAATGTACTTTAGTAAACAGCATCAGCCTTCATCTTTGTGGCGTAGGCGTCATTAACATAGTAAACATAGCTTAAGTTCAGTCACATATGAGTTGCCCAAAACAAACGAACATGCCAACACCTTTATCAGCACCGCCACTAACAAGCAAACACACCAAGGCGGCGTCGGCGTCGCCACCGACAGTGAACGTACCTTGAGCTTGGTGGCGTACGTGTTGTAGATGGCGCTGAGGGCGGCGTCCATGCCGGCCGCGGTGCAGCTCTAGCGCGCGAGACATCGCCTCGGCGGCGGCGCGGCGAACAACTCCCTCGTCGTGGATCACGTCGTCGATGAGTCGCGAACACATCGCCGCGGCAACGCTCATCCCCGTCTCGTCCCACAGCCTGCAAGGTCACGCGGCAAGGTCGTCAGGTCACGCAGCCGAGCGACCGTGGATGCTGCGCTGGCCGTGGGGGGGTGTGTGTGGTGTGTGTTTGGTGGGGGTTACAGTATGCGCATGTGGAAAGTGCGGCTGCATGAAGAATTAGTGAGGTTGTTACAGAGCATAAGTGTGGTGTGTGATGATGCAGGGGTTAAACAAATAAGCCATACTAAACGATTATCTTCCAAGTAGTATTATTCCCCTCTGTTCCCCTTACAGCCAATATTATAGCCATAGTTACCGTCCATTTTTGCTTCCCCCTTACGTTTCCCCTTAGTCCCATTATAGCCACATCTACCATCCATTTCTCCCCCGCCCGTATGTTTCCCCTTAGTACTATTATTATTAGCCATATCTACCATCCATTTCTCCTCTTTACGTTTTCCATTAGTGATAAACCAAGCATCGAGGAGGATGACAACGAACCTGAGAGCGAGGATCTGGATCGCTTCGTCGTTCCTCCTCATCGTGCCTGACGACCCAGACTCTCTGCACGAGTCGCATGCCCTGCTCCTCGTCCATCTCCTCGTCGCAGCGGCAGCACCAGCATCATCGCCATCAGACACTGTGTCGAGAGGATATACAGAGAGATGTATACACACATCACGCACGCACGCATGTACACACGCATGCTGGTATATACCGGCTTCATCGCCATCAGACACTGAGTCTAGATATACATGAGAATGTATTACACACATCACGCCATACATTGCATGTACACGCGCGCATGCTGGTATATACCAGCCATCATCTGCCATCAGACACTGTTCGAGGATATATACATAGAGAGACGATGTATACACACATCACGCACGCACGCATTGTACACACGCATGCTGTATATACAGCATCATCGCCATCAGACACTGTGTCGAGATATATACGAAGAGATGTATACACACATCGCGCACACATACATGTACTCGCGCATGCTGGTATATACCAGCATCATCGCCATCAGACACTGTGTCGAGATATATACATAGAGAGACGATGTATACACACACTCGCGCCACGCATGCATGTACACGCGCTTGCTGGTATATATACGCAGCATTCATCGCCATCAGACACCATGTGTCTAGATATACATGGGAGAGCGATGTATACACACATCGCGCACACATGCATGTACGCACGCGCATGCTTGAGTATATCACCAGTATCATTGCCATCAGACACTGCGAGATATACATGGAGACACACGCGCACCATAGGTACGCACGCTACGCACGCACACAGAACAAACATATATATCAGCACCACTACGATCAGACACTGCAGACACATATGACAAATGTATAATAATCGTTATGCAACGCATGGATGCATGCACGCACGCGCACATAATACCTGAAGAGCCGTTTCTCCTGACGGTGAGAGCGGAGACTGCAGGCCAAGCCAGTAGTACGTCGATCTCCCCTGGGTGGCGCTGGCGCAGCCGTCGATGCCACTCGCCACACACGGCCGTTCGAGCATTGGCCTTGCACGCCAATCTGGTGGAGGCGGCCGGCGCTCGTAGCGACACGTGCCGTCAGCAGCTGCGGCAGCATCTGTCGGCGCGGCAACAGGTACCGGGCCATTGCTGCCAAAACACAGGGGCGAAACAAGTACGTTTCGTTCTGACAATTGACTAATCATCTGACTATGAATATCCAAAACCATTTCATACGTATTCTTCCCAACATATTATATAGTTATATAATATGTGTGGAGAAAGGAATTCGTATGAAATGGTTTTGAATTCATAGTCAGAATGATTAGTCTAATTATAATAACGTATCATTTAACGGACAACTTCACTGCAATTACCCGTTGTATATAAATTCACTATCCCAAAACCTCACTACCCTGCTACTGCCACCCCTCTACCACTACCCCGCTACTGCCACCCTGCTACCATTACCTTGTTACTGCTACCATGCTACTGTTTACCATGCTACCATTACCTTGTTACTGACTACCATGCTACTGTTACCATGTTTACTGCTCCCCACCTACTGTTTACCCGCTACTGTTACCATGCTTACCATTACATGTACTTGCCTACCCTGCTACTGCCACCCTTTACCATTTCTGTTACTGCCACCACTTGCTACCATTACCTTGTTACTGTTACCATGTTACTGCTACCCTGCTACGTGCCACCCCTCTACCACTACGCTGCTACCATTCCCATGTTACAGCTATCCCTGCTACTGCCACCCTCTACCACTACCCCGCTACTGCCACCCTGCTACCATTACCATGTTACTGCTACCCTGCTACTGCCACCCCTCTACCACTACGCTGTGCTCACCACGCTAGCTTCGTCATCATCGTCGTCGTCGGTATCAGCGTCCGGGTTGCGAGTAGGTTTGCCGTGCGTGAGATGACCTTTCAGGGCCTGGGCAGAGGACATTTCTCGTCGGCCTCCACCGCCGCGCGCGCCGCGCCTCAGTACACTCTCCAGCAGCGGAAGGCAGTACGCGAAACCTAGAGTTGTCCGCGGCACGAGGGAAACGAAACATCTGTGTTACCGACGTGGTCCTACTCTGAGGGGCAGGTTCACAGTCATTGTCTGTACACAGCACACACGCAGACATGCATGCACACACACACACACATACGACACACACATTGCACACACACGCACACGCACACACATACACACACGTACACTCATCTATGCACGTACGCACCGCGCATACGCTCACACACACACAAACGAACTCGGTCATTCCTGCACAACATTCTCCCATCATACCTCTCTCTACTATTGCCGTCCACAACAATTAACCCCACGCGTTAGCGGCAACGCGAAAGTTCACCCATCCACTAAAGCACTTCACGGAGAGAAACCCTTCCTCCCCTCTCCCTCCCTGCCCTCCTCCTCCTACCCCGGGGGATCACGTGTCGCTCGTCGTACCTGGGGCGGAGAATCTCTCCCCTCCCTCCCTCCTCCCCTCCCCTCCCCCTCCTCCCGGGGGATCAACGTGGTCGCGTCGCTACTGGGGCGCGAGAATTCTCCCCCTCCCTCCCTCCTTTCCCCTCCCTCCGCCCTCCTTCCCTCCCCCCGGGGGAGGGGGTGTCGCGTCGTACCTGAGACGGAGAATCTCTCCCCCTCCCTCCCTCCCCTCCCCCGGGGGAGGGGGTGTCGCGTCATACCTGAGACGGAGAATCTCTCCCCCCCTCCTTCCCTCCCCTCCCCCTCCCCCGGGCGGAGGGCGGTGTCGCGTCGTACGCTGAGACGGAGAATCTCTCCCCATCCCTCCCTCCTCTCCCCTCCCCTCCTCCCTCCCCTCATCCTCCTCCCGGGGGGAGGGTGTCGCGTCGTACCTGGGGCGGAGAATTCTCCCCCCTCCCTCCCTCCCCTCCCCTCCTCCCGGGGGGAGGGGGTGTCTGCGTCGTTCATACCTGGGGCGGAGATCTCTTCCCCCTCCTCCTCCTCCCCGGGGGAGCGGGTATCGCGTCGTACCTGGGGCGGAGAATCTCTCGGCGTGTTTGTCCGCAGCGGTCGTCGCGTGTACGATGGCGACGGCGCGTCGCACGGCTGTCTGCAGCGCCTCCTGGCACCACCAGCTGTCCAGCTCACACGCCGGCTCCAGCATACGCAGCGTCACGTGACCGATCAGGTCACCTTGACGACGGCAACAACGCAGAAATGAACGACCGTGATGCAATCGGATTCTGTTTCACTCGCTCGCAACCCACGTTCGCGTCTCCGCGCAAAATTGCATTGATCGTTCGTATACGTCGTTTATTATTAATTATCACTTATTTAATCATTATTATTGGTTTTTTGTTTTTGTTTTTTTATTTATATTTTTTTTTTATTTATTATATTTGTTAAAAAAAATATTTTTTTAAAATATTTTTTCATATTATGATTATTATTGTTATTATTATTATCACCATCATCATAATTTATTTTGTTAATCAATTATTTAATCATCGTTATTATTGTTTATAGCAATTCACCGCCTGCACTCACCGAGGTGTTTGAGGTCGTCCGTGTAATCGCATGCAGAGAGCTGCAGGAAGGCGCGTGTCGCGTGGGGGGCGGCGAGCGGTGACGGCAACAGCCGCAGCAGCCCCTCGAGCAGCCGTGGCAGGTGCACGGCGGCGCCCCCTGCGTTGCCGTCGACGATCGCGCTAACGATGCCCATCGACTTCGAGAGTCGCACATCAAGCTGTCGAGAAGATCAAACCGCGACTCGTTAATTATACTTAATTATAGTTAATTATACTTAATTATAGTTAATTATACTTAATTATCGCTAATTATCTCGCAAATCTCGTTGCCGTGAGTCCAAGCACGATTATTACCAAGAAATCGCCGAAGTTAGCAGGGAGCCCCCCCCACCTATACGTCGCACTACAGGCGCCACCTACACGTCGCACTACAGGCGCCACCTACACGTCGCACTACAGGCGCCACCTACGTCGTTTAACAACGAGTTGTGTCATCCATCTTACCTTCTTGAGATTGGCGCGCGTGCGACTCTCCTTCTCCAGCTGCAGCTTCAGCATCTCCTGCTGCTTCTTACTCAGCTGGGGCTTCTCCTCCTTATTCTTCTTCTTCTTCTCCAGCTCCTGTAGCAAGGGACGCACGCAGCGACGCGTTACGTGAGAGGTGGGCCCATCGTCGCTCCCACCCGCACCCATGCCAACACACACGCACACGCACATACACACACACACACACACGCACGCACACACACACATACACGCACGCACACGCACATACACATACACGCATGCACACGCACATACACATACACGCACACACACAGCTAACCTACCCCTCACCTATGCGTCCATCTAGAAATGTCATACTCTGCTCTAGTTAAGTTACATTAAAGTTTCCTCGGTTTAATCTAACGTGGCGTCACAAGATTCCTCGGATTCCCTCGCTGGTTTATTGCCACGCGCGCCAACACCCTCAACCACCAGTAAAAGCTAACATAGAAGAGGACTGACAGAATGACTGCTGTCCAGCCACCATGCATCCATCACACTGCTGATCACTCAGACACTCCCCTCCCGCTGATGCCGACGTGGAAGGGTGTCGCTCACCTTTCGTAGCTCTAAGTCAGCAAGCTGCTCCTTGTAGCTATACACCTTGCTCTCTCGCTTGATGTTGCCCTTCTGGTCCTCATCCTTGATGCTACAAACACGAATATTGTCCATACATTTCACTGTAGCAATCACTGCAGCAGCAAACAACCCCTACTTGTTGTGACCCCCACACATGGCACTCTAGCACATAGCACTAAACAGGGAAAAAAATATAATTTATTTTTCGGGGGCTACTTTTCAAGCTCGCGTGGATGAAAATAGCACTCTAAAATTTGGTTTGCATTAAACTCATGCAAATTTACGGGGTCTCTTTTTGGCATTTCGGGGGCTAGATCACCCCGAGCCCCCGTGTATTTTTTTCACTGGTACTAAAGCAGCTTGGATGTAACGTTGACTTAGTGAATATGCTAACTCATCCTAACGACCCAACCTCCATTACACAGCTCGCTATTAAAGTGCAAGGCAGAGCAAGATATACCGAGAAATGCCTTGCAACGATAAACACGTTCTACTCGTCTCACTTCACTTCAGCACTTCGTTTTTTCGCAAAAACAAGTGAACGCAAGCGAAGTCCCATACCTCTCGATCACGGACTTGTCGTAGACGTCGCCCTCTGGTGTCATGTAGACGGCGTAGTCGGCGAGCGATATCTGCTGCGCGCCGACGTCGTCAAGGCAACTGATCACGTGATCGACGAGCTTCGGCATGGCGGCTCGCGGCGACACGCGGGCGAGCGTCGCGATCACGTTACGCCACGTCTGAAACACACGACGCGACGTGACGCGTTCAACGCTCGTGACCGCACACGTGCGACCGCACTACGATTCCACACGTAACTGTCATTTACGGGATCGTCGCAGGATGCGTTTGTAGAGTTGATTGTATTTTTATCGTTATTATTCGTGTGATTCCGACAAAACTAGGGTTCAGGTAATGCAACCAGGGGTCAGGTCATATAAATGGAGGTTATTAAACACAATTGGGTGTCAAATAACACAATTAGGGGCACACGTACCACAACAAGGGGGTCATGTAACACAACAAGGGGTCATGTAACATAACAAGAGCTCACATGACACGACCAGACATCATCCAACACAACGGCGGGCCACCACGTAACCGTAACAAGACAATTCTACAGAGCATTCAGCCGGATTACAGAAACCCGAGCGCGCGTCTACGTCGATAGACGTCGCATATGGCACGACAAGAGAGCGTCCGGCGGAGATGGCGCGGGGGAGGGCGTACCTCGTCGAGCGTGGGTTCTGCGTCGAGCATCACGACAATGGCGTCAGCGTGCCGCGACACAAACTCGCCCGCGTCCACGCGCATCAAGCACAGCACGTCCGTCCACAGGTCTGGATTCTCCATGACTACAGCGAGCGAAAAAACACAATAAAATAATTTGCACAAACACTTTGACCGAAAATTATGCATCGATAGATCACTTCACCATGCCACATTCTTTGAGTTCAGGAAATGCACTGTCACAGAGAGAGAGAAACTCTGTCTCTAGAGAGAGAGAGAGAGAGCTATTGAAGGGTTCTCGCTGAGAAATTCAGAAGGAACGTCGGGCACTCGGGCCCAATTCATCGCCACGATTGCCTAATCGGACTTACATAATTATTAATTTAACTCGTGCTTACAGTAAACATAAACGACAGTACACAGTCACGATTACTGTCACCCCGTCGCGTTACGCACAACGTTAAAAAAAACGCGAAACCCCGACGTACCGACGAGGGGGTGGTGGGCCGTCAGCAGTGTTTCCATGGCGATGAGGTCGGCGTCGCGGGCGGTGAGGTCGGGCACGGCGGCGAACGCGGCGTTGGCCTCGGCGAGGATGCGTCCCGCGCGCTTGCTCTGCGCGTCGCGGTCGTCAGGGTCGCAGGCGTCTGCCTTCACAAGGTCGTAGCCGATCTACGCACGAGCAAGAGAGAAGCGAGTGAGTGAGAGAGATAGAGAGAAAGGGGAAGAAAGAAGAGAGAGAGTGAGAGATGATAATGATGCTACTGGTGATGGTGGCGGCGGCAGCGGTGGTGCTGCTGCTGCTGCTGCCACTGATGTTGTTGTTGTTGTTGTTGTTGCTGCTGCTGCTGGGGGGTAGTGTTAGTGATGGTGGTAGTGCTGGTGATATTACTACTACTACAAATAATAATAATAATAACAATAATAATAACAAAAGAACTACACAGTTTATACAAACTGCAATTCGTAACCACAAACAATCAAATTCGCGACAGCAACATGTTCGCGTGAAAATACCGACAACAACAAAAACATGCGAGGGAGAGCGGCATAACAGACCTTCTGCGTGGCCAGCATGTCCTTGAACTCCGCCAGGAAGGACAGGGCGAGGCTGGCGCCCCCTAGCGACGACATCAGCTTGCGCACGCTCGCGGCGACAGACGACCGCAGTTGCCACGACGACCGCGTCATCGCGTAGACGACTGCACGGTAGAATGGCTTCGCGCTGGAATCGGACGAAAATGTGAAAAAAAGTCTCGGGGTGGAAAAAAACGGACTCATCAATCCGAGTGAGATAACGACTTCCTTCACGTGATTGTTGTTAGCCGGAGAAGCAGACGAAAGACACCTAGAGCGGCGGGAAATCTCATCAGTACCACGGCGTCAAGAAAGCACACCTGATCTTTACATGCACACAGGTGCAGAAGTACGTCGATCAGACGCGCGCGGCAGACGTTACTAGCATGCGAGTCGGAAGCGATCGCACCCCCGCGCGCACGCGGCGCCCCCTGGAGGAGCCGTACTCACGTGTGCGCGATCGCACCACCACGCGCACGCGGCGCCCCCTGGAGGAGCCGTACTCACGCGGCGCCCCCTGGAGGAGCCGTACTCACATGTGCGCGTCCATGCGCTGCGGGTGGGCCATGACGAGAGACTCGACGAGGCGGGTGAGGCCGTATAACGCGGCGTCGTCGCCCGCCGCTAGCAGGTACTTCTCCGACACCAGCAGCTGCTTCTTGGGGTCGAGTATCGTGCTCCAGAAAGTCGTCAGTTCGTTATCTAAAAAAAAAACACGCCACGATGATAACGATTCACATTTCAATAGAATCATTCCCCTTTTTATTCGAACTTATCATATATATAAATGAAAAAAATAAAATAAAAATAAAGCGTCCGCATCGGTACTGACGACGATCGCTAGATGGCGCACCTATGTCGTCGTAGACGGCAGCGAGCTTGACGAGGATTCGCGACGCCGATACGGCCTCCGTCACAAGCAGCATCTGGTTCGACTGACCGGCCGCCTTCTCTACAGTCTTCAGCAGCACTGGCAGCAGCTCCCTGGCCTGAGGCAGGGCGTCCCCTGAAAAACAAACGCCGCACGTACGTTGGTATGTCTGACGCGATCGCAACGCCCGCTCGTGTCGTTGTCACCCCCACACGCACGCACGCACGCACGCACGCACAACACTGCCCCATATGTTGTAATCTCTAAGTCACAGTTGTAAGTTAGCACAGTCAGAAGATCAAGTAAAAAGTTATGTGTAACTTCTTAACTGTTATTATAATACATATACATACATACATGTATATTATAATACATCGCACATCTCTACTGGCTATTAATCACATTACTAGTCAAGATGTGTGTGACGCATGCGAATGTGCAGCGACTCCATCTCCTCCAAAAAACAGACGACTAATTAAGCTAACAACCGCAGCATCCCTAACGACCCGGACGCTTGCACTCACGATGAGAGAAGGCTGCATTCATGCAGAGCAGGTAACGACTAATTAAGCTAACGACCGCGGCATCCCTAACGACCCGGACGCTTGCACTCACGACGAGAGAAGGCTGCGTTCATGCAGAGCAGGTAGGCGTTTCGCACGGGCGACGTCGACGACTTGAGCGCGATGCCGGTGCGAAAGAACGCTACGAGCTTGTCCGGCACGCGCGTTGTGAATCGCTCGCACCACGCTGACAGCTGCGCCAGCGCGTGCACCAGCGTGCCCTCGTGCACTGAAACAACGACACATGCAGATGTGACAAGAACGGACACGCACGTCCATGTTACGTGTTGTCGATACACATTGTTATTATTATTATTATTATTATTATGATAAAGATGATGAATATTATTATTATTATTATTACGCAAGTGATTCGTTCTGGAGAAACTTGCTCGTGCTGCACAAAATTCTTAAAGGGATACAGGAGGGATGCCGGAGGGATGCGGGAAGGGATGCTGGGATGTTTGGGATGCTGGGATGTTTGGGATGCTGGGATGTTTGGGATGCT